AAAAAAACAATTAAATTTCAGTTAGACAATAGTTATGCATATCAGTATCTAAATAACTTAAAGTTAAAATATTATTAAATAAACAAAATAATATACATAAATACAATATACATTTCAATAAGTTGTGTGTTCATGATGTCTACAAAAAAAAAAAGCAATGTGAGCAGCTTGTTATTTTATTATGTATTCCAGAGAAAGTTCACTACACACATTGCTCTGCTTATTCCTTTTTGAAATTCAGTATTTATGCATGTTTGCTGTTTGCATTTCCTATCATCGTTTTGCATAAATCTTCATTGTCTATAGTTAGCGATTCATTGTTTTGTTACTTCAATCAGTTCTTTTGTTTTATTCTTCTAAGTGTAAATGTTGTTTTTTGTGTGATGTGTGCGTGTTGAGTTTAGGTGTTTTTATTATTATTATTTTCTTTTCGTTTTGTCTGTCGCTCACTTCTCCTTAAGCTCAAAATGAATCTTCTGAAATATGTCCTAGAAGCGATCCTTGGATGTTGCGCTATACTCGAGCTCATTTAGATTTTGTATTTCCTGCAGCTCCTGGAATTTCTCATGATCCCTTATGTGCGCATAATTGGCGGCTAGACACATTAGATAGTGTACCAAACTCAGTATGACAAGCAAAGCAGCCAATGTGGCGAGAATGAACATAACTTCGGCATTCTCGACGCCATCCTTGCAGAAGGTTTTAATTTCATATTTGTCGCAGATTTTCATATCTTCTTGTTTGGTGTTGGGCGGGAACATGAAATCTGTAAGAGAGCAAGAGAAGGAATTGTTTATTTAATGTTTTGTATAGTTAATTATGAAAAGTTTATACATTTAAGTTATCATTTATTGAGAACATCAGCTATTTAATTAACATCTGAATGCTATGTAAATTAGGGTGGTACTTAAATAATAATAAATAATAGCAACATCTAAATTTAAAATTCTAAAAAAATTTTTGGGGTGAGTACCAGAGTTAGGAAAATTTTTAATTAATATACAAATAGCGAAAATTGGACAAATGCAACTTTTTTTCGAATATTTGCAATTATCAAGAAATTTTAAAATTTCGTGCATGTCTTTATTTTGTATGTAGAAGAAAATAACGCGGTGTCTTATGATGTTGATATCTTAAGGATCACCCTAAAAATATCTATGCTTTGGTTCGCGACGCCTATGCAGTGATCATCCTTCGCTAATTAAATAATTATGCAGACCTCCGGAACCGTAGATTTCTTTTGACGTAGGAAAATGCATCAATGTTTCCAAACTAAGGCATCGCACGCACATTCTGATAGTCTGAAGTGACACTGCAGTTGAAACAAAGTAGCAAGTACTTTGGAATACAAATCGATAGCAAACTGACGTGAAGCCTCAATGTGGACGTGTAGGCGTAGAAAGCCTCGGTTGCGTTCTATGTATGAAAAAAAATATGCTGGGCTGCATAAGTGTGGGTCACATATCGGCTTCTCCCTTTCACAGGATCCTCACGATAATGGTCATAAAAAAGAATAACACTTCTATCATTGAAGGCATTTCCGAAAGCGGGACTCTCTGCCAAGAATATAGTATTTTCGCCCGGTTTAAAGCTACAGTTTTTTCGCACGTCCTACGGTCACGGTAATATAGCAAACAACTCTCTGAACGGGTTGACTACGTGATTCCGGGCCTGTATTTTTAAAGGAATTTCGGAGCAACCATTGAGTTCATAGACGCGCGTTTGAAGACGACTAACACGTTAAATTTTTTCACGGATGGGTCGAAACTGCATAACAGCGTAGGTTTGTTGGTTGGTAGAAGCGTCGCCTGAGCACATCCCCAAGACCCAATTAGTGCTTATATCACTGCGTATTCTCTGGAATGCTTGTTTTTGTTTTTGTTGTTTTCATGATTCGTCGGTTTCTTCAAACCATTTGGATGTTTCGATGAATTTATTTAGGCTTGTAATGGTGCATTTGGAGATCTCCCTAGGATTTTGGATGGTAAAACTCCCTAGTATTTCATGCCTTACTCGTGCCAATGCTAGGCACTCGCAAACAAAGTGTAGGATCGTTTCATCACTTCCCGCAAGGTCACAGCTACGGCCCCGAGGGTTGTACGGACGGCCTTTTTTAGCTGCGTGTTCGCCAATGGGCCAATGTCCCGTTATCGTTGCTGTTAATTGAAGTTCTTCTGTCTTTGGTTTGTCATAATGCGGACATATATTCCTCGCACTTTTGCAGGCTTGAAGGTTGTTCCAACATACATATATCAGTCATACGTACGAATTGCAAATGCAGTTCTCTTTTGATGAGTCCGAGTGGACAATTTATTGTCTCTGCTTCGGATTCATCAAGAGATGCTCCGGCCTTTGCCAACTCATCAGTCTTCTCACACACAGATGAGGAAGATGTCTATTAACTCGGCCGTCAAGCTTAACGCACATTTGCAATCTCTGACTGTTTTGGATTTTGTTTTTGGCGAGGCAAGTGCCAGAAGTGCTGCTTGGCTATCTGAGAAAATGTATGCTTTTCGTACACCTACGCAGTTCCTCTCGAATCCTTTACAGGCCCTTTCGATTCCCGGTACTTCCGCTTGGAAGATGCTAGCAAAGTTCGGTAGTCGAAACGAGAGAGGAACATTCAACAGAGCAGGAGCGGCGGTGTTTTGCGCAGTGTTAGCTTTTATTAAGCCTTATAGTTGCCGGAATATTGTAGCATTTTCACTTCCTTAAGAAGTGTGGTAGCGTGAAGTACTATGGTTGAATTATATGCTGGTCGAATTATGTATACGCACGAGCTGGATACTATTTATTGCCTAGGATTATGTATACTGTGCTGTCAGTGTCCAGCCCATAGCATGGTGCAAATTAGTCTCTGGCAGTAGTTTTTCTGGTAACATCTATAGCGTTCAATGTTTTTTCCAAACCATGCCATCGTTAGAATGTCTAGCCTAACCTATAGATGGTTTTAAGCTCGGGTCGAATTTTTATGAACACGAATCTAGAGACTGATGTACAGAACAAAGTTGAATTAAAGGAAGGTTGGAAGAAACCATTTTTTCTCGACGCTCAAAAATAGCATGTCGGTTGATACTTTTTGTAACTTATCAGCATTAATCAGGAACTCCAAAATTACGAGTGAAAAGAAAATCGATAGTCTGTTCTACAAAAGTAAGTAGTTTTCTACGAAAATACGGAGTTTGAGGTTCCAGCCAAGCGCTGCATTTAAATATGTTCAGGTGGGATTTTTATAAGAATTTTAGTAACTCAGCCGAATGGTAAACTATTAATTTCAAGGTTATCAATAAAAGGGTGTTTGCTTTATTTATTAGTTTTGACAATTTTAGTTCAAAGAGTGGTTCCTTATAAGATGGATATCGTTTGAAATAAATTTTATAAGCCAGTATTAAATTTTTTTACAAATATAATATATGCACACACATACCTATGTGTAAGATTATATTAAATTTTTACTTACGAAACTGTGTTAAATCAATGCAGCTGAGCGAACGTTCCACACTTGAGCACATATTCCAGAACATCGTATAGATAAAGGTGACTATGACCAAGAAGCATAGAATTAATATCCAAACAAAGTTTAGCAAATATGTGATGCCCATGAACTGAAAAAGAAAAAATATAGAAAATAAGTGTTTTGGTTAAATAAAACGAATTCCAAAAACCTAAAATTAAAAAATTTCACTTTTCAAATTGCAATAAATATGTTATAATAATAATAATCTATACATATGTACATATAATAAAATTGTAACAGGCCGATGTCTGTACATTATAGATATTAAAGAAATGTTAATATGGAGGTCTTTATTAGAGCAACAGAAGTCATAATCAACAATTTTTATAATTTTTGACTGTCTGTCTGTCTGTCTGTCTGTATGTTTGTTGCATCACTCGAAAACTAATCCATGGAATTGAATGCATTTTTCACCGATTTATTTCTAGAGGTCTAACCTAAAATATAGGAAAAAAAATTAGAAAGTTGCCACCTGTTCGAAAATTGTTGTTTAAGTAAACCGATAAGATAAAGTAAATATTGCAATATGGCTGTCAAAAGAAAGAAATTATAGCCGAAAATATTTTTATTGAAGGTTGCCAAATGTTTGTTTATTTAATTGATACAAAATTGAGTATTGCAATAAGGGTATCAAGTATCACAAAAAGACTTTTCAGGCGCAGTGAACCACGCCGGGTATATGCTAGTATATAATATTTTGGCGCTAAAACTTTTGCTAAGGGTTTGGCCGAGCTTCTCCTCCAATTTTTGGTGTGCGTCTCGATGTTGTTTCACAAATTGATAGTTTAACGCCGCCTATGAACGGCGATTGTATTTTTATGAGAAGCCTTTCATGGCAGAAATACACTAGGAGAGGTTTGCCATTGCCTGCCAAGGGGCGACCGCCGTTAAAGAAAAACTTTTTCTATGTATATGTAATCTGATTTAATTTTCAGCTGACCTAACGTCTACGGGTTGGCCTTCATAAATACGATACTATTCAAGTACGCTACACGCTTTCACGTTAAAATTTCCAAAGATACATTCATGTCTCGCTTTTGTAGAAATACTCAAACAAGGCAAATTAACAGAAAATATTTCAATTAGACAACAATCAATTGCAGTCGCCTTCTTTTGTCTTTGATTAACGCTTAATTAAGTTTTGAAACTTTTCGCGGGCGAAATGCGTTTTTAATTGTCGGTAAGTTGTCGACATTGATATCTGTATGTATGAATGTACATTTTCGAGTAGTAGTTAGCAATATTTAGGAGTCTGTTAGTCAGTTCATTGTAACTTTATACACAAATAAACCATTTTTTGTGTGTGGGTGTATGTGCATACAGTCAGCAGCAAAAATATACATACCCTAACGTTTTGACGATTTTATTTGTTTATAGTTCCCCTACCAAATTTTTCGTATTATTTTTTATAAAAATATATGTAGTTCATCCAACAGCAAAGTCCTCAAGAGTCAATATTTTTAATTTCATACAGAACTCAGGGAAATGCAAGAAATACCAAGAAATTTTTTTATCGAAATGTAAAGTTTTTCAGTGCGATTTCATAGAAACATTTTGAATGTACAGTCTACTACATAGCCCAGTCAATTTTAGTCTAATAAAGTGCAAGTTTCAAAACTATCGTTGATTTTTGAGACTTTTTTGTGGAAGGTGTACGTATCTTCATCTATATAATAAAATGATTCTTGGATTTTTTGCTGTTGAATTAACTATACTATTTATAAAAAAAAAAGAAAAATTAAATATGTAAATAAAATCATCAAAATGTCAAGATGCCTATTTTTGACGCTGACTGTGCTATATCGCAGACAATATCGGTGCAGTGAAAATGTCGCATCAACTTAATTTTTGTACTTTTTACTCCTATTTAGTTGCCAGTTGGCGATGAGCCACCGCTATCTGTACCATTACTCTCCTGCCGCTCATCCCAATCAGTTATTCGACTAACTTCACAACAGTAAATACTCGTAGTATGTACATATGTATGTGTCTGCATGTTTTAGTTCTATGTCGTCTACTACTTTCTTTCGACGCTTGGTTAGTTGACTGGCAAGTATTTTCTTTTAGTTTTTTTTTTGTGTTTCTTGCATTTAATTTTGATGTTGTTTTAGTTTTTGCCTTTTAAATACTTACCACTGCACACGAGATGCGCCCACCCACTCGTGAACGCCACGCGCGATAGACCTTGTATCGTGTCGCTCCAGTTGCGAGGAAACCAACGAAGAGTATCATAAAGCCAAGCGCCGCCATTCCCGCAGCAATTATGACGAAAATCATTTGAATCGCTTCAATCCTGCAAAATGAAATGAATGCGCAATTAGAGTTGGTTACATTTGTCGCAGAAACATCCGTTTTGGGTGTATTTTTATGTGCTGTTAATGTATACTTAAATGCAAAAATTATACGTATTATATCAATGTTTTATGCATAATTGAGGCATAATTACAGAGGGAATTTTAATACATACGAAAAAGTAGAGAAATCAATAGACATTACATTAAAAAAGAAAGAAAAACTTGATCTTTAAGCCGAATCCCAATTCAAATTTCGTTCTTAGATTTCAGCGCTTGGCTATTCAATATACTTAAACTTAATGATAATTTTCTGAAAATTATTCGCGGATTATACGATCTCTATTTTGGTCGTTTTGGAACATTTCCTGGTTAGAGAGTTGTAGGTATCTTTGGCTAACTATGGACCCACTCTTCGCTACATGAGGGCTATGTTCAGTCAAAGGAAAAAAAGAAGAGAATCTGAAATAATCCAGTTGCAAGATCTTCGAGGGCTGCATTACCAAGTTTTTGAGAGAAACGATCATATTCCATACACGGCTGGGACGTTATGTGAGATAATGACTACAGTTATGAACAAATTAACCACAGATGGTTTGAAGCTCGGTATTAAATATAAAGTAGCTTTCAATTGGGCAGCCACTACGTCAAAGTCCACTCTCTAACGTTTGGTGGACGTATGTTAAAACAACGACACAGCGGTTCCAGGTTTCCAAATTTTGCGTTAGAACTTGAGTCTGCACACGTAAAAAACCCAACTGGTACAGGAGCTCAAAGCTCAAAACCAAAGACAAAGCCGTTGATTCGCTGATTGGGCTTCAGAGCTAAAAATCATCTCAAGAGACGAAGCGAATTTTGGATGAATTCCTAACAAGCATATGTTTATGCCATAAATGGGAGGACGAAACTGGATATAAACGCGTCCAGGTACAGATTTTGAACCGGTGGTGGTGGTGCAAACTTTCTTGTAAAAAATGTTGGGGTTAACCTCAACGACAAGCGCTACAGAACGATAGCAGCCGATTATGTTTGGTTGGAGTTGAGCAATAAGGGTATAGATACTACGTTGGGGATGCTGCATTAATGATTTGAACATATGGTTTTGTTTTGCTTAGGTACATGAACTTGGCCATCACGATCCTGCGATTTTACCCCAACAGAGTTTTTGTTGTAGGGTTTTGTGACTTTGCATGTATTTGCCAATGGAACACCTAGAGAATAGGGGCCGTTGAGCTAAAAAAGTGGGAATGGCCCGCCCCCTGTTCCTGATTTGAATGCCATATTTTTTTTTGTGCAAATTAACAGGGGCGGCGCTAAGAGGGGCTAAACGTGGAATTTTAAACATTTCTAAGAGCTTATATTTCGAAAGCTATTAAACTGGAAACTATTAAAATATGGACAAAGTTTAAAACATAATTGAAAAACCTTTAATATGATGTATATATGTATCTAAAAAGTAAAAAAACTAAATTATGGCAGTTTTTTTATAAAAATTATGTTTTTCGTAAAAAATTGCGTAATTAACTATATTAGCAAATATGAAACACTGAACAGGCACAACTTCTAGATATGCTAATTAGATTACTTATGATTATGCATACAATATAAAAATTGCAAATATAGGAAAATCACAAAAAAATTTTGTTCAGCATTTTTTTTTTTTTAACAATTAGTTTATAATCTGAACGACTTTCGTCATATTATTATCATAAATCAGTAACAGTAAGTCTCGTCTTCCATTTGCTAATTATTACGTACCGATCGATTAACATTTACCAAAGTTATATCGAAAAACTTAAGTGGATCTCCAGTTTTTTTCTAAAAAATTTCTCTTCAATTGTATAAATAACCTTTAAATGAAAGAACCAGATTACAGAAGAGTGTGTCAGGGAGTGACTTTTTTCGTTCAAGCTGAATGCAAAGCAGTATCGTCCAATTGGAGAGTCCTCAAAAGGTTTTCCCAGGATATGTTAAAGACTATTGCATTTACCTACTGTCACTTTTTCACATAATGGAATTAACTAAAATATTTATGTATATCTAAACACTTATTGCACGCCCCCTACCTTCGTATAACGGCAAATTTAGAAACCGCGAAAAATGTGCTTCTTCGGTGACTAATGAAATCATTCCGCACCAATTTTCAAGACTGCATAAATGGACTTAAAAAGTGGCGTATCTCACCCTAATTGTATTATGTTAATGTATGTAAATACTTATATGCTTGAAACTACTATTAACTCATCTAACGATTCCTCATCTTTGACAATAAATGCTTGACTTCATTCACCACGATCTTTAAAACTGACCAGATCGGCGTGACCAAGTCCATGGTCCTTTTAATATTATATAAACATCCGAAAACATTAAAACGTTTGAAATATATCTCGTCTCACTTTTTTGTATTTTTCACTTGGTTGCTGAAGTAATGAAGAACTGAAAAGTCATAAGGGAAAATTATAGTTTTTGTAAGTTTTATCTTAATATCTTAAAAACTTGTAGACTTATTAATTAAACAAGTAATTTTTAGCAAAAAAAAACCGACTTCAACTCCCATATAAAAAAAAAATATATATATATATATATATCTCATGATCCACTGATCGGATCTCAACCAGATTAGTGTGGGACCACCTCTGAGACACTACCTTTCCGATGCAAAAAGAATTATCGAAATCGGTTGACGTGGTCCAAAGTTATGCGGTAACATACATAAAAAATAAAAATAAAAAATAAAATATTCCGACGAACTGATAACCTCCTCCTTTTTTTGGAAGTCGGTTAAAATGATAAATGAACGTGAGGTGCTAAATTTAATAACCCATAATTTCATAAACGTCCTGTTTATAAAAATTTACTCATTCCATAGATATTACAAACCAAAGTTTCATTTTCAATATTCATACACTTTGATTCAATTGCGCGGGTTAAAGATAAGTTTTAAATTAATCTTTCGTGGCCAATAACAATTGGCTTAGACCCAAGGCATCATTATATTACTATTACAATACGGTCAAATGTCTTTTATTTTCCCCCATACAAAATCGACCCAGCCTAATGTATATACCTAACAGGACTAAAAGTGAGCTGCTCCCCAAAGGAGCAAGTAGGGAGCAGTACAAAAGTAAAGTAAACAAAAATATTGAATTTCTATCAATGCTCAGAAATAAGTATCATTTTGATTAGTAACATAAAATATTTTCTTTTGAAAAAAAGTTAATTTATGTACAACCATGTATGTATGTATGTATATCACATAGTAAAGAAGAAAAACCCATGTTTATAAGTACACCCAATAAAGCCATCAAATGGTTTACAAAAACGCCCTTATTTTATTAAAACAAAAATATAATATAAAAATTTAAATTTGCATGCATTGCTTTTTAAATGCTTTACTTGAAGCAGCAAGGGAGCGCTTCTTTCTAATGACACACAATGTTAAAATACAATTACGTGTGAAATTAGGAAGGGAGCGCTTACTGCTGATTATGGAGCGCTCCAATAGCAAAAATGGAGCGCTTCTAGCCCCGTTGGGTACAGCTATATATGTATATGTATGTATATGTAATAACCCTGCAGTAAAATTTAGAGACAGTCTGGCAAAGCGCTAGTTCCGAACTTCATATTTCAGAACTATCTCTGAACTGTGGCAAGCGGCTGCAGAGCGCGACATTTGAAACTTGCGGTGTAAGTGTACAAGTTCTCACTTCTCGTACAATATAAAAGTAGCTCAGCGAGAAGACCTCCGACTCAAGCATCGTTGGTCGCGTGTTCAAATCGCGGGGGGGGGGGGGGCGGTTGTGAGTTTTCAGATTTAATGAATTTAAATTGTTGCGTGTCGCTTACAATTTTTTTTTTTTTGTATAAAAAATGTAACAAACGTGGAACCTCTAAAATAAAAGAAAAAACGGAAGAGATCCAAAAATCGAACCTTAAAAACGGTTTCTTATAAAAAAAAAAACTGTTCAAAACGGAACCGGTTAAAAACTAGTTGGATAGTAATGCAGTGGGCGACAATTGCCACTGCCAATGATATCGCCGTGTAAAACTGAACAGTAAAAAAGATTGCTTGGGTATTGAGCTAGATCTAGTACTGTCGGCAAAAGGTCTAGTTCTACGCTAGTTCTATGCTAGTGAGATTTTCTGCAGGGAAAACTCGAAAACCCGCATACATTTACCCCCATAGCTCAGCATGTATCCGTAAACAGCTGCACATTTCTCAATCGCATTCTATCAAACACCACGTCGTTTTAGACTCACATCAGAGTGTGGACGATGTAATTGTAATTATCGTATGCACATTAACACATTTGGTTTAAAATTAACAATTTCCAAATACTGATGGACCATTTCGCATGGTCAGCCCATCAGCAGGATGATACAAATTATACTGACATACAAATAGAAATATGTATACCGATAAACCACTATACCCCGATAAGTGTAGATATGAATACTCACCAAATTAGATGCAAATGAAATACTTGATCCATCATAATCACCGTCAACGAGGCGCCACGATACATTGTGCCACAGAATATGCCAACGCCAAGCAGACACATAAGTGTCGCTATTAATGTGGCATAAGGAATGCGGGACATACATGATTGACAGCAGTCACCTGTAATGAAGGAGGAAGAGAGAGAGAGAATAGATGAGTACGGTGGAATAATGCACAAATTAGGTATGGAGTTATAAAGGTACAGTTCTACATAAACATAAGTATGATCCATCTATGAAAATACATCTATACATATACATACATACAAATTTAACCTAACCTACCCAGCAAGAATGACCTAACGCATTCACCAATACACTTACAAAATTGTCCATAAAAACCAACACATTTGCATATTAGCCATATCCATATGCCATTCTTTGCGTTATATAACATCGCATAATAATATTTAATTGAAAAGAGACAACTACATATATGATAATATCTGTGGTCATAAGCAATAATCGCCTAAGTCGAAAAACCTGAATTAGAGAAAAAACGCTTTAAAGATTTGAATTGTAATGTTAACCTTATGGGGAAACCAAAATATTTTCATCTACAACTTTTTAAATAGCCTAGGTAACGAGATGGAAGTTTCACATACACATGGAATAGTAGTTGCAGAAATCGATAGCATATATAACTTAATTCTTTCTTAAGCGGTTATTGCCATGCTTATTTGGGCATGGCTTGCAAAATGGGTTGTTTTTACGGATATATGCCAGCCTTTCAATGATTTGAACGTAAAGCTTTCAGGCTCTAATAAAGAAGAACTTTATAACTTTATAATTGTGATGGACAGATCACGTTCGTGCTTTTTAGGCTAAACTGAAAGTTATTGGTAAAGCTATTGAGGCATATTCATAGTCCAAATAAATTTAGTAGCAGCTTTTTGGTAGATATTACATTGATAATTATGTCAAAAAGTTGCAATTAACTTTAGTGTCGTCTTTTTTTTACTTTTATTATTTCCATATTTAAAATCATATTTGGATTTATATGAAAAACCAGACGGATCAAGAGTCACTGAAGAGTTTTCTGTGGTAATAAATTCATTCATCGACGAATTTTCATCGAGGTTTTCTGAATTCAAGGAGTTATCGGAAACATTCAAACTTATTATGTATCCCGATGTGACTTCACTTGATAGACTGAATTTGTTTAATTTGCTAATACTAAAATTTTGGAAACTTGGAATTTAATTCCAGACATATTAGATGGCACGCGTATGTATAAAGGTCCGCCGTTCCTGGCCTAGGACATGGCCTTGTAAAAGTATGTAATCGATGAAATACACTGCAAGTAATCGGTCGGTAATTGACGGAGTTTACTAGGTAGCTACCGATTCATCAGTCCTGCAGTCGCTCCCCGGTACTACAGGGTACCTTACTTTAAGTACATACATACATATGTATGTGAGTGTAAAGATTTGCTTATATTGCGGGCATTCATTCGTAGTTCTACACAAATTGTATTAAGTCGCACCACATTGTGTAGAAGCATTCGTGAGCCAAAGCATTTCAATAGGTTACCAGAGTTGATGGCCGATGATTGCGTTGCCAATAGATTGGTGCAAAATTGAGGTATGACTGCATGTGCACATACATACATATGTATAGCCATTAGAGTGGTAAAAAAAAAATTCCGAGATAGGTTTCGGGGCACCATCCAAAATATTTCCACTTGCCGAAAGTGGTGCTGGCACCAATCTTTACGTTTCTCTGTATAAATTTAGAGGATGATCCTGAAATGTTTATATTTTACTCTATAAGTATATTAGCTGCATTTTGTTGTAAGCGAGCGACAAAAGAGCGCTCAACTCGGGTAAAATTTCCTTTTAGCTACTTAAGCAACCCTGCTGATGACTGGTAGGAAACATGTGATTAGTTTAACGCGATTTAGATACAAAAACCAATTTAAATGAGTAATGAGTGACACAGTGGTGTTGGCGAGCTGTGGTTCGTTGCAGCAGTGTCTAATGGGATCGGAGCCAATAATAGGACCAAACATAGCGGAAGCCGTGAGATACATCAGAGATCGCATGACTGAGAATCATGTTTTCTGAAAAAAGCCAGACAAGGTGGTAGCGAGAGGGATTCATCTACGAGCCCTGATTAAGGGGCATCGTTGACCTTATTTAGAGGATGAGCATAGTACAGAGAATTTTTTCTGCCGATTTCCGGCCTTTGCCTGACCGAGATGGGTTTTAGGTCGGACGTATTGAGACTGGACGAGTTACATGCTTTTTCCCTCGCCAAACTACTGAGATTCATAAAAGCGCATTAAGTAAAAGACCAGGTCTGCCTCAGTGCTTGGTGAATAATTTTACATTTTCCGGCTAATTTCATTCCGCTCTATTCTATTCCATTCCATTCCATTTCATTCCAAAGAGAACATACCCAATGGAAAGCTCTAATTGAATGCTTGTTAAATTGTTTTGGGTTTTCCTACTAATTCCACTCCATTACATGTGATTCCAAAGAGAAAACATACGCGGAGCAGTAAAATCTGGTTCTCGGTGTTTTTCCTGTGGCCGGGTTTTCTGGTCTGCGTCTATGCGATTTTGTGTAAAAAGCAGATATACATGTCTAAGCCACTCGTCCATGCAGATATGTATCTCTCCTGAACTGGATGAACGGTGAACTAGTGATCCCAAAGCCTCAATGTTACAGCAGGCTTTGACATCGATGAACCGACTTTCCAAGATCTTCACATCAATACACTCCTATACTAATTGGACGAAAGTAAACGCAATTGTTCGAACTTTCTCCTTCTGGAACAGCTAAGTGTAGGGTCATTGGGTCAGAGATTTCCGAAAGCTGCTCGCAGTGAAGCTGCGGTAGTAAAGCATTCCTTAAGATTCGCTAAATCTGATGCATCTACGCAGAAGGCGCAGAAGGTAATTTTGCTCCAAAATTGGGAGCGCATGACGTCTGTTAGCGATAAATGTCAAAAGTAAAACGTGCGAAGGTAAGAGCGGCTCCAATAGAAGGAGTATAGTCGCCGATATGATTACCATACTACAGATGCCGAAATCATAAAGAAACCCCGAACAGCAATTCCCTTACTGGAAACGACAGGGGCAAGCGACTTCGAAAGCTGTCCAATCGTGCTTAAATGAAAATTGGGAAAGGCCACACAAGCAATGGCTTTCAATGAAAATAAGTTATACAACTTTAATTTCTACAGCTAGATAATGAAAATCCTCCGAAGCTGAGCCCTGCTTTGGCCACCATGGTTCAAAAAGGAGCTGGAAAGAAAACAACGAAGATCTTTTGATCTTATGTTCTGCCTTTGAACGCCACATTGCAATTAGCGACCAATTTTACTCTGTAGAGAAAGTTTGCTATGAAAAATTGGTTTCTGTTGGAAGAGACAAAATTTTCCGTTTCTTTGGAATTTCTTCTGGATCGCCCTAGTATACATACATGCTGCACATTCAATATCCTTTCCCAACATTTCACTCTAGGTGTGCATTCGCAAAATAAGTCTGTTGATATTTCATCAGTAACCAGCTTCCAACTATGCAACAAGCATTAGCAAGCGAGCTACAGCTACCAAGTACACGCTTACATAAATATTTAGCACGAAGGTGCACATTGCTATGTACATATGTACATACATATTCACACATATTTAAGCATTTTATTGATTGCTTGCGAAGGAAGAGCAATAAAGCACAGGTACTTCAACATAATAGGATGTGTTGAATGCGATTTTTTAGAAAAATATTTGAAAAATACATACATAGTTGAAAATATGTATGTGAACCTTTAGTAGCATGCAACTAGGCAGAGTTGTATTTAGTTGTTTTTATAGCAATATGTAATTAAAACAAATGATTTGTAATGCATTTTTTCAAGTTCAAAGACCATGTAATAAGTGTTGATAAATCAAATTTATTGAGTTTGAATTATAAAAAATGCGTTTGATTTATACGTATATACTACAGCTTCATTTGCGTTTAATGCCGTGTAACGTGGCGTATGAGTAATATTAATTTTCACATAAAATGTTCATTCGAGTATGAGTGCTTTGTGATTCATAATTGACACGTCAAAGGGTAATTTCGTTTAACATGTTTTCCCTTTTTTGCATGAAATAACATGTGCACACTTGTTTTTTTTTTAATCTATTTTAGAAAAAAAGTAATAACACAACTGACCTAATAAAAAATGCTTGCTTGACGAGTATAAATGAGGTTTTTTTTGTACAGCAAGGCGTAGATATTGAACTGCTGCTAGAACTCGCTTGCGTATGGCCATCTGCACTGTCATATTATAAACTATGGATCCAATTTTCTTTCTTCAAAAGTGTCATATTCATACATTCATACGTTAGAAGGATACATAGCTTCAAATATGCTTATGAATATGTATAGTGGTTGTGAAATCCTCTTCCAATATTAGTTCAATAGGTGACGTTGACTTTTCCTTTTATTTTCAAACTACAAGCGACTTTTCATATGCAAAGCAAGCGAGAAAGAAGTGTAACATATTTCATGTACATATGTACATACTTTTTTTTACCATGCAGCTCACTGATTTGCATACAATTCATTTCACTACCATTTTTTTCCTATTTCTTTGCTAAGCTTTAAAAATGAAAACATCAATGCACGAAAGCAAAGAGTAATGAAAGGTAGGAGAAAAATGCACTGAAACGTAAATTTAAAGTTTTTCTGAAACTTTTTTTTTCCTCTTGCGCACAGCAAAAAAAAAATTGTATTATAAATACAAGATGCGAAAGTATCGTTTTCGTAGCGACATTAGAAACAAAAAAATACAAAAATGCTTCCTTAGCAAAAACTCAATGATTTACAGATATTAGAGTGGTAAGTTTGGCTGGTAGGTAGGTATTAGAACGGTTTACTTCGAAGAAAAAATTTCGAAATTGCCTTCGAATCGAAATACTTCCTTAGCAACAGTTTAATGGTTATTGGCGACCTTTAATTTACCGACATTAGGGTGATAGAAACTGAGATCTAATAGGTATATAAGTACTAGAACTTGGTACTTGGATTCCATGAACTTTCGAAGAAAAAACGTTTCTCCTCGCTACAAGAAAATCGCTATATGAAACTATAAGAACCGCCTTTAAATGCCGAAGATATAACGAAA